GTCCAGAGATGAAGAGCATTTAGGTCAAGGATATGGGTGGCAAGTCAACCTTGAAGAAAAGAAACATTTGGTCTTCTGGAAATGAAAGACAGTGACGATGGCTATGGAAGTTTTTAGGTGGTAGGAGGTTAAGGAATAGCAGAAGAGATATATCCATTTCCTCCAATAAAAAGGATGATGAAATCACCTGCTGAGAGTGAAGAGAGTGAAGAATGTGTGGGTTTAAGGGGAAGTCTGAATAGGTCTGAAATTACTCTTCAAATAAATAGGATCAGGGCTAATCAAGCTCATGGTTAAAGACTAACAAGTGATCATTTACTAAACATGATATTTTTAAAACTCTAATCATTTTTCATAAGGTAATTTATTTCATAATTTGCTTTATGAATTTAAATTTAACTCAGCAGTAAAGTAAGGAAGTGTTTATTTTACTTATTTTCTCAAATTGAGGTGCATCATCTTACATTTGTTTAATTTCTGCTTATATTTTTGTTATACACATAAAAATTACTAGCCGGGCATGGTGGTTCACGCCTGTAATCCTAGCACTTTGGGAGGACGAGGCGGGAGAATCACAAAGTCAGGAATTTGAGACCAGCCTGGCTAACATGGTGAAATCCTGTCTCTACTAAAAATACAAAAATTTGCTGGGCGTAGTGGCATGCACCTGTAATCCCAGTTACTCGGGAGGCTGAGGCAGGAGAATTGCTTGAATCCAGGAGGCAGAGGTTGCAATGAGCCAAAATCGCACCACTGCACTCCAATCTAGGTGACAGGGCAAGGCTCTGTCTTGAAAATAAAATAAAATAAAATAAAATAAAATAAATTTTAAAAATACTGCTTATGTTATCACAGGCATCACAAGCAGAAGTTTGTTTGTTTATTTGTTTTTCCATCTTAAAAGAACTCTGCCTGGCAGGTATTACTTTTCCTCTTATATAGATGAAGAAACTGAGTATCAGAGAGGGGGGAAATGACACATCCTATATTTCCCAGTAGGTAGAAGTGTCAATGCTCACTCCTAAGTGTTTTTCTTGTCAAAGTACAAATTTTCCACTATATCATAAATTGTTTTAATTGAAGATCAAAGATAACTTGAATTTAATTTTTCGCCCATGTTTTTCTTTTATTTAAGAAACATAAGTAAGATTATCCCAAATCTATTGGGAGAAAAAGGTGATTACATTAATCAAAAGAAAAGTCACTTTAAAGAGTCATAGGAATACTATTTTTAACCAGAAGCTGCTTTAGACATGACACTAATAACTTTTCTTAATTTAAAAACATATGAAGCTTTATGAAAAATATTTAAGAAACACTATCTAACCAAAAAATGGTTCTTTTTGATAACCGAAATGTAGTTAACTCTCAGGTTTGCATTTGTGATAAGTATTAATCCCCGTTTCCTTAATATTTTAAGATCTCACTTATATCTGCAAAAATAAAGGCCAAGTCTAGATGGGAGGTCAAACTTTTCACTAAAGTTTGAAAATAGCACCTACAGTTTTTTGAAAACCATTCGAACTGCTGGGGTATTTGGCAGTGTTTGACATCGTCATATAATGCTTGCAAAGATTTCAGGCTAGGAAGTCTTCCCCAAACCGCTCTCAATTAGACAAAAATTTCTAATGCTCCTAAGAATATGGAATCACCGTAATTGAATATATAAATCCGAACAGATCTATGTCTGTCAGCAGACATAGAATATTTCCAGACAATATTCTCATGTATATATATTTTTGGCCTCAAACATTAATAGTAGTTCAATAGACTTAAGAACATCAATCTGTCCCCAATACCCAAAATAAAATATACACCTCAAATTACATTTTAGTGCCATAAATATATTATTAATCATTAAACTAGGAAAGAATGAAAAAAGTTTTGAAAATGTGCAGCCATTGATTTTTTGTTCCGAATATACAAACATCACTTCGTTGTATCCATCAGTAGTCTGAGACTTAATTAGAATTGCAAAAAAAAATATATATATATATACATCACTTAGTCCAACTCCTTAATTTGAGAGACAAGGAAACTGGGCCCAGGGAAAGAAAGCTTACCCAGATTCAGTTGAGGTTAAAGTGGAATTCAAATCCAGGTATCTAGATTCACAGTTAAATGCACTTCCCAGAAGCAGAATAGATATAAATAACCTCATGTAATTTCATCTGGCAACCAAATTCAGACTCTGAGTAGAACTTTAAGGATAGTCCTGAGTTTGCTGTTTTATCATATTCAAAAGCACCTACCATAACAAGTGGATAACTAAACAACATTATAATCACAGGACGAACATTATTTTAATTATTTAAGCATACTAGAAACAAACTTCAAACTACATTATTCAAGATTTCTTCTGAGTAACAATCAATTGAAATCATTCTTATGGAAAACACACAGCAGAAACAAGTGAAATAAACTACAATGGACCCCCCAAAAACCCCAAATAAACATCCAACTAGTACTTTCAACCCCACAGCCTTCAATTCTACATGCATCATTGTCAATTGAGCACTGATTTGCATCTATCACCAATCAAAATGCAAAATAAATCATTGTGAAAGCTCATTGGTTTATATTACTGCCTTTATAGATATTAGCTTCCGGAAAATCATTCTGAAGAACTGAATCATCTGTATCATTTTTATTACTCATTCAGGCTTGACACTGTCTGCACAGTACTGACTGAAATGTACTTCAGTATGCACCTTCTCTCCAAATGAATATCTATGTCAGGTTTATTTATAGCCACTGCCTTCAATCAGTGCATTCTCAAGTATAAGAAATAAAATCACCTCAATGATACTCTTCTATAGACATCTGCAACTAAGTGTGGACATCTTGGCAACTGGCCTTTGGAAAGATAATGAAAGATCTATACCATAAAATATACATTAAGATCATTGAGATTCCAAGAACAATCATCTTACACTCATTACTAAGCACATGTAAAGAGTCCCAAGTACTGAGGTAATCTAAAACTTATGCATCCTTTTGCATAACTCTTTATGTACTCCAAGATTATTATAACCTCCTCCATTCTCTTTTCCTTATGCTGATTTCTCTGAAATTTAGGTACCCTCTTTGTTTCTTACTTAGATGCTTTCCTCTATTCAGGAGCTTTTCCTTCTAATTCTTTACAAAAGCAGGGCATGCTTCCCCCTGCTGGGAAAAAATCAAATTACAAGGAACATCAGAACATGTTCCTAAGTATTATATCAAGAAATCAAGTTCCTAGGAAAGATAAAATGTTAAGGAACCAAGTGCATAGCCTTCTCTGACTGCTTTACCAGACAAAGAAATACTTATGCACTCTGTTAAGAGTTTCTTGTACGCATTTATTTAGCTTGACCGCCTTCAAGTACAATAACTCATATTAATGACTGATGAATTAATCTTTGAGCCACTTGTCTCAAATAGAACTCTAATTAGCGGGTCAGAGAGAACGATCAATTTGTAAGTGTTTTTTTCTTTCACTTTAAAGACATATTATCAGCTACATAAAGAAATTTCTGGAAAATACATTGAAGACTATTCAAAATATATTAAAGATACTGAAGACTGGTAAGACTTGCCTTTTAAATCATTTCAAACAATCTTAAACATCTATTAACTCATTATTTTGCTATTATTTTTATGTAGTTGTCTTTTTTGAGAAAGCAAAAAAGTGCATTTTTATTGACTTTACTTTTCCAGTTTAATTTCTATTTTTTTCATTCAGTAACCAAAGTAGTAGGCATAATTGTATTTCACCTTCCCACTTATCTATAAAACAAGCTTTTTCCCTGAAAACAGTTCAGTTATTTCACATGTTCCATGTTTTGACTATAAATCTTTTTCTAACTGTTTAGCATTTAAACATAAAAAAAAACCTTACACTTTATTGTTAACATAAATAACAATCCATCAATTAAAAATATAGCTAACACCGATTTAAATCATATATTGAGGAGCAGAATTTATTCTTCCTTGGTACAACTAAGTCTCAAAAAAATCTTTTAATACTGAGGAGCTGGGGTAGAGGAAGTTATCCCTTTTAGTTTTTTGCTGTATGTAAGTCCGTAACAACCTTAGCTACAAAACTGCACTGTAACCAATTTGATGATGAAGCAATTCATTATTAATGAAGCATTCATCTAAAAAAATCTGCAGCTGTTTTATAAAAGGCATGTGTAAATAACTACAGATATAGGTGTCTTGAGTATTTAGATGGCATTATTATAACATAAACGGAGTAATTTGGTTAATAAAGTTTGTGTGTCTTTTTTTTTTTAACCTTTCAAAGCAATGCAAAAGACAAGACATATATGTTCCTCTGGGAACGAAATCTCCTTTAACATTACAGGTACACAAAAGAAAATGCACACTTGGTAAAACAGTTGATCAATTATAGAGCGTTCCCAGGGACCAGTATCTCGCAGAGTACCCAATCATCACACTTCAAATAAATGTATAAGCACTTTAGCCTCTACTTACTACATTAACATACATATAAGAACATGCACAGTTTAATGCATAGGTTAATTCTAACACTTTCCATAGGATAGACTTTGATTAAAGGGCATCAAACATCACTTCCTAAATGCAGTAAAAAATAAAAATAAAAATACTGATCTGTAGCCAAAAAGCTCTTAGAACACTACATTGATCACCATTGACTTCCAAACTGCTTTCCCCTCCCTCAGCGAAGTGAAAATGTCCCTGTAGACCGCGTTACACTTTACGGTTTCTCTATCAACGATCCTAACAGGTCACATCGCCACTGCCATTAGATCTCCGTAGCTTTGGTCTTCTCCAAATTAAGACGTGGAGAAGGAGCACTGCTGTCCGCCCCAAGAACGGGGTCTGTCCGCCCGAGCTCTGAGACGAGCATCTTCAGGGGGACAGTTTCTGCGAAGGCGGCGACAGGAGTCCCTCCCCAACTTCACTCCCCTAATCAAGCCAAGGGTGAAATAGGCAGCCGGCGGTTTGTGCCCATCGGTGGGGGCAAGTCCTACCTTCTGCCAAAAGGCGCGATGCATGCACAAAAGATGGATCCAGGCTGTCTTTCTCTGCCATCAGCTCAGGCAAATATTTCTCCTCTTCCATAGCGCGGACTTCGGACTGTCCCCGGGCGAAGCGCGAGGTTCCGCTCGCTTGGACGCAGGGTCGTGGGGCAGCGCCTGGCTCCCGCGCTGCTCCTCCTCTGCGCGGCGAGGGGATCTCTGTGCGTCCTCACTGGCCCATGCACCCAGCACCTGCGACTCCCGCCGTCGGGCTGCGTGGCCCCGCGTCCACACCTGCCCGTCCCTTCCGTCGTCCCTCGCTCGCGCCGAGCCCGGGCTCACACCAGCTGCCTTAACTGGAGAGGCGGGAACAGGGCGCGGCCCACCTCCGCCAACCACTCATTGGTGGTGATGCCAGGAGAGGCGGGGCGCTGGCGAAGGCCGCGGGCCCTCATTGGGCCGTGGTTCACGTCGGGTCGCCTGACTGGCAGGAGGCAGCTGCAGAGGGGAGGGGAGCTCGGAAGATGCAAACGCTTTCTTCTTGCAGCCCAAGCCTTCCCTGGCTATTAGGCATGCCCAGTTCTGTGGAGCTCTCTGTGTCTTCAGCTAAGGTGCAGAGGAGAGAGAGGGCGGGAAAAGCGCAGGTTAAACAGAGAGGTCTGAGTCCAAGTGGACAGGGGAGATGGAGATGAGAAGTGAGCCGCTGAGAGGGTGGAAAAGCGCCAGCGAAAGTCTCAGGAAGGTAGATGGGACTTCACCTGCGTCCCTAAGGCACAGGTGTCTCCTTTCCCTCACACAGCTCAGACGCACTACAGTTGTGCAGGAATCAGCAGCGCACTGGGTCTGGAAATATAATGAAGACTGCATGTGATCGGCAGCTGGTATTTCCGATGACCTACATCTCAGATACGCAGTAGGATGTTCATTGATAAACAAATAAAGCGGCTCGGAGAAATATTGTGCAGAAACATTCTTCCGGTGTAGAATCATTGGGATATTGAATTAGTTATGGTAACCTATCTGTCCCTCCTTTCCCCAGACCCTATCTGTGGAAGGCAGGTTGGGAGGGGCTTAATTTAAAAACCTATATATATATACATATATACATATATATATGATTCATTAGTCACAGTTTGTGAAGGAATTGGGAAGACATGTAGAAGAAGAGACTAGAACATAGGTAATCACGTTTGCTCTAATTCTCCCCTTTCTCCTCGTTGTATATGTGCCAGTCTCTTTCACCAGGTACTGTTGCTGAGCTACTTTGTATTATCCCACCTCTATTTAAAGGAAAGTTAAACCCTCATGATATCACCAACTGTGACCAAAAAAAAGCCCCATCCTTCTTTTACCAATGTGGCCATAAATGTAACTTGCATTCCTCAATCGCTAGGAAATAATCTTTCCCCAAGTCTTGGGTTCTCTTTTCATAAGCAGTCATTTCCTGATTCTTTCGCCATTACTTTTGATGTAGAAGAATGAGGGCCAACTTTTCTACAAATAAAATATGCTGAAATTTTTCCAACTTCTCTTACTGAATTTAAATATTTTCCTTTTTATTTAATTTTTAGATAAATTTAGGAGATTATCTTTTATTTATATAATGTTTAAATAATGTAACGTGCCTCACATCAATTATTTCAATATGTCCTCACAGAAGCACTCTGAAAGATGCCAGCCAAGTATTACTTTCTCTGTTTGTATAAATATGGGAACTGAGGCAAAACAGAGAACTTGTCTCATGTCTAGTGAATGCTGAAGTTGAGATTAAAATTCAATTCCATATTAGCACCATTTAGATCCAGATTATACTGCTTCAACCTACCTTTCTGTGTGTTAAATATTTATTTGTGCATGAGTGCATTCAATAAAAGTTTATTGGATACTGAAAAGAGTCTAGGGACAGTACTTAAAATTGGAGAAACATTGATGAACAAGATACACATTCATTCCTTGTCATCACAAAGATATTTTCTAATGAGAGAAGACAAATAAAACCAAGTACACAAGAGAAACGGTAATTGCTGGCTGCAATAAAGGTCAAGAAAGAACCAAGGAGTTAAGCAAGATACTACAAGGGAAGACATTAGTTTCTTTATTTTTGACTAGGGTAAACATACAATCTCGATAAGCAGCTGATATTTACGGTGAAAATTCATGAAAAAGATTGAACCAAGTGTGTGCAATGTGCAAAGAAAGGCATTCTAAGCACGGGAACTTGCCACTGAAAAAGCCCTGTGGTGGAAAGAACTGTGCTGACTTTTGGAATTGACTGGTTTCAATGTGACTACTGTAATATGGGAAAGAATGGAATCAATAAGAGTGGGGGATTGATGTGTACAAACATCCAGGATTCGATGAATGAAAATTATTTGGATTTTATTCTAAGTGTAATAGGGGACTATAAAGTATTGGTGTCTTTCTGGATGTTCTTCTTAATCTCTTTCTGATTTTTACGTTACTTTCAAAGAAGCTATTATTTAGAAATGAGTATATATACAAAAAGTTCTTGCTATTTTATCGGTGTGCAGAATGTTTAGTAGTTGATGGGTCATGCATCCTGCACCTGGTCTGCAACAGGGATATAAAGGGAAAATATGCTTCAAACTTCAAAGAGGTGGCTACGATTTGCTATTGTAGTCAAGGATGAATACGATGCCAATCACAGCCAAAAAACTGTAAATATTTTCAAATAAATGTAAATTAGAACAAAATATTTTACAATAATTACAATAACATTTTGCATATCAAGAGATTAGAAGCATATAGTGAGGATAGGGACGTGCAGAAACCCAGTTTCATGAATGAAGATGGTGTAGGAAATCTTATAATGTCCAGCAACAACAATTACTTTATTATTCAAAGCCATCTTTTCTATGATTACAGGATTAATAAGATATCACAGAGAGCTGTCCAAGTGCTGACTTTATTATATAACGTCTTCGAGTCATTATAAATATAGTCACGTTATTTTTTTCTAGTTAATATCAAAACTAAAGATTTATTATTTGTAGTTCCTCAGGTAATCCCTCATCAAATACCTAAAATGCATTCTAACAAAGCAATGTATTTATGTAACCTAAAAAATCAAAAGAAAATAAACTCTAACCTAATCTTTAGAAAAGTCTGTGTACTTAGTACATGATGGATATTGTAAAATAAAGATATATAAATATATTGACCCTTAAAAATCAATGTGCTTCAGAATTAACTCACAAAATATTGCCCATTTTTAAACAGAATATGACTAAATAAAGGTAAACACCAAGGGCCCTACATATACACTCATCCAGCATCAGATCCACGTGTTTTCAATAGATGGCTCTGTGTTACTACATGTTTTCCATTTATTTCACATGCAAATTTTTTATAGGTACAACATTATCTTTTAATATTCTCAGAGAAACCTTGAAAATGCAAACATTTTATAAACATGAATGTAAGCAGAAAAACTTTAAAAAATGATTGTTGAATATAGAATATTTTGTGTTTACCCTTGAATAAATTATAACTGAATTGATTTGCCTAACTTAAGTAAACACGACTTCTAGCCCCAAAACACTTTTAATGGAGTTCTAGTAATTTTAACATTATTTTTAAAATGGAATTATTATAGAAAATTTTGCCCCAACCAAATTTGGTTTTGGAGGATGAATAAGTCATGCACCATAGAATAAGTTCTTTGGTTAAAACACAAACTGTGTTTTCAATATTTTCACACACCTTTGTAAGAAAGGTCAGGCTAAAGGGCATTTAATCAGACTAATCCTTGCAAACTAATAAAAAATACCCAACCTGCATTATCAAATAGAGCACAGTTTCTGTTGCTTTCAGAGTTCTCATTAACTTTATGGATATCACATTAGCTACTCCTGACTAGTTACTCCAAGGATTAACTAACTCTTGACTAGTTACTCAAAGGATTCAGTAAAACCAACTCACAATAAGAACCCTATGTTTCCAAAATTGTCCTGACCCAATAATTTACATAATGAAAATGGAGAATGATAGTGTTGATATTCTTTTAGCAATCTAATGCCTTGGTGCCTAGAACAGAGTATAATAAAGTACAACAAAGGACTGGCTCACTTACATTTACTGTAGAGCCCGACAGAACTCATAATATAAAAGATGCTATTTTAATATTTTAATTTATTTGAATTTCACTAATTACACAAGTAATTAGAACTGATTTCAGTTCCAGTTTATTTTAGAACTTCTATGTTATACTTTAGGATTGTAAGAAAAGACAGGGAAATGAGGACTTGGCTCTGCTGATGACCAATAGTGGTAATTGCATGTGTAGTAAGAAATTTCTAATATGTAATATGCTCAAAGACAAAATTTACGCTATATGCTAATATATCATAGTACCACATAAATATTCACCACTTAAAGCTGGTGTGTGTGTGTGTGTGTGTGTGTGTGTGTGTGTGTGTGTCTGTGTGTGTGTTTTCTAATTGGAAAGCACTCTAGTTATTTAATAGCATATTATATTTAAACTGACTCAAATGTATAATTAAAGAACAATGGAATAGAGGCAGAAAGAAAACAATTGACATCTGTTGAGGGTCTGCTACTGTGTTAGAACACTGCTGTTCTGAATCCTCACAAGGAAGAAACTGTTCTTAATTCTAATGTGGCTTAGCCCAGAGAAACTATTTCTGAGGTTTAAATTATCTGTGTTTGGAAAACTGACAGAGTTGATGTCCTTGTATCTCCATGGACAATTGTTGCACTGACACATTTCAGGTGGCACCCAGAGCAGCTGAGGAGCAGTACTTCATTATAGGAAAGGGGAATGGCGCTGTTGTTCCAAGGTGAAAGTTATTTACTATATTCTTAAATTAAGTCCTTGAATTGTAGCTCAAGTATTGATTATTTCTGGAGATCAATATTTTAAGGTAAAAATCACATCAGTAAAATGTATTTTTCTTATACATCAAATGAAGATCTAATCTCTGTTGTATTCAGTATGAAATAAAAATATGAAGGCTAGGAGATGATTTAATAAAAAGGATGTTAAAGTGTGTTAAAACTTTTGCCAGAGAGGCAGATATATAAGCAATTGTTTTATATCATGAATAATACAAAAAAGGAAGCATGAATTAAATTTCAATTTAATTTGGAAGTTAATAAAAAACAATTGAAAAGGTTTATTAATATTGAAATACTATTTTAAGAGAATACCATCCCATTCAAGTTTTTATATTACAACAGACACTTGTTTGGTATAAGTTTTTGTCATTCTGGTCTCTCACATTTAAAGACATTACCATGCATTTAACAATCATTCTGAAATCTACTGTATAAAATAGTTCGTACAAAGCAAGTGCCAGGCATTTTAAAAGAATGATAAAATTAGAATAGACAGCTCCAAATTTAAG